GTCAACCAATCTATTTGCTCGACTTGCGCGTGAATGGCTTTGCGCTGTGATATGCGTGTTGAGCGGTGGACTTGGACGGTAATATAAAGAACGGATGAGGTGAAGACAAAACCTCCGACCTATTCGAGTGAGAATTGAAGTTAGTGCTTGTTTTCTGGGATAGATTTGAGAGCAAATCGTACGAAGCCGGTGAAGAAGCCCATATTTATTGTGGTGTTTGGAGTCGCCGGATTGATTATTTATTCGTGTGGCTGGACAGAAAAGGCGGCGAATGGCACAAGTGTTTCGTGATTATAGAGACTTTCTTTTCTCGACAAGCAAAAAGCTCAGCTGAAATGTATTCCAAAAGCTGAATGTCCTTGAACAAGCAGAGTGAACGCGGAAAACTGAAGTCGGACAGGCGGTGGAAGCCCTCCGATTGGCCGGGACAATTCTTCTGGGCCGAACATCCTGTCTCCTTCACCTTCAATTGCAGGAACACCTTAGTTTGGCCATTGATCTCGCGATTCCCACTCTACTTTTAATAACTATCCTTCTTTCTCCCTCTTTTGCCCTCGTTTAATAACAGTCACCATGGCCGGCGGCGGAAGCAGATACCGCCACTTGAGCCGCGACTCCGCGCATCGACAAGCCCTGCTCCGAAACTTGGTCACCTCCCTCATTAAGCATGAGTCAATTACCACGACATGGCCCAAGGCCAAAGAGGCTCAGCGTCTGGCCGAGAAGTTGATTACCTTGGGAAAGAAGAACACCGAAGCGAGTCGACGACGGGCATTGGAGATTTTCTACGTATGTTGAACTCCCGGAGAACAAGCCCACCCCAATTCCAATCAGGACGGGAATCAGTCTAGTCACGAGAAACTATCCGTTCACCATATCCGTGATGAATTACTGCAATTCTCATCCCATCATTCCCCAGAAAGACAAAAAAATCAACAACCCGATGACACCACTAACATCCCCTAGACACCACATGAGATGCTCCCCAAACTCTTTGGTCCCCTCCGCGAGCGCTACGCAGACCGACCAGGCGGCTACACACGAGTCCTACGCGTAGAACCCCGTGAAAAGAACGAGTACTTCTCCGCCAAGAAGGGCGACAAGAACGCCATCCGAGAGCCTAAACCCCAGGTCAAGGCTCCCACTGCCATCCTCGAGCTGGTCGATGGGCCAAAGGACATGCGTTTCGCCATGACGGCGCGTACAGTGGCGCGCGAGCGCGAGCAGGGTCGGGATCTCGTGCACTCGCTCACAAGGTTGAATGTGAAGAAGGTTACTCAGTTCCGGAAGGACGGTGTTGAGGTTCTGGAGCAGGCAATTTCTAAGCTCAGTCTTGCCAAGAAGCAGAATGATAAGCTCGCTAAGAAGGAGGCTCAGGTTGAATCGAGGGAGTAGATGTGGGGAGTGCTGGCTCTCTTCTATGGGGGATTCTGTTCCAGAATCCTCGGCTTGGGGTGATCTCTGGGACCTGTCTAGGAGATGTTTTATCCTAGGCTTTGATGGGTGTGCTTGATGTTGGCACCATCTCGCTTGGTCTCCCGGGTTGGCTCCGTTGTTCTTTACTTGTTTTTCTTACCAGGAGTTCTGTCTTCTTCCTGTTTATTATGGCATCTCCGTCTTCGTTTGCACTCGCGCATGTGACATAGCCTCTGTATAAAAGATTTTGATACCTCTTTATTCGCACTTCTTGATTTGTTAGCTTTTGGTAAATGTGTGTGTCGAGTTATGCTGCACGCCGTAATGGCCCGTTTTTTCTCGGGCGTATGTATATATCTAAAGACCAATCACACCCTGGTAGACAAGATATCATGATCAAGTACGTCGTCGATGAATATTATCCATAGTAGACCAACCTTCAGACGGCATCTTGGATTTGGATGCCTGACAATCCAGGCCTCAATATATGAATTTAAACAACCTTCACGAAAACGCCATGAGCTGCAATGTAGATCAAATAAAAGATTCACCGCAAACAATAAGTGCCTTCATTGCATCGATATCAATATGAGAGAGATTTTGCGTGATTTGGTTGTTACGTTACCAATGCTAGTGTGAGATCGTAGAACTATATATTCAAGACTCAGCAACCTCCTCAACCAAAGTTCAAACTTATTGCCAGCAATTGGACTCGAAATTGCCATAATATGAAGCCATTAGTTATCTACTCCTTCCAGAAAGCGATCAAAGTTCTCTGCAGCCTCTGAACGCCCATTTCCTGGGACGGTTGACGAGATCTGATATATCAGCTGCAGCCTCGACGTAACAGACTAGTGCCACCCGCACACGGCAATTGCAATCAAGGGACGATAAAATTCAATGCACAATTATCAATAGTTGAACTTTCTGGCATATGATCCAAGCGCATGCCATTATAGGCCAAGCAGGTTTGGCCAAGCAGGTTTGCCCAAGGGGTCATTTATTCATCTAGCTAAGTCCCGGGAGATACTCAAAGCCTCAGTTTCCCTCTTTATAATACCCCAGTGCTCAGCAGGACTCGTGCTTTGGTCAAACAAGATAGGGTGCTTAATTCTCTTCTGTCTAGAATTTGACACCTATTTTTACTACACCGCAACCTTCTTGTATGCAGTATGAAACACCCGATATCATATGCAACCACGCTCTCCAGGGTTCAACATTTGCTAACCTCCCACCAGAACAGAAAAGCGCATAGCCAGAAAAACTCCTCAAGATGGAGAAAATTTCGCTCGAAACACACAACCCGCTCCGGCAAAATGCTCCAACCCCTCCACGCGCCGACAGATACAAAGAAGTCTCATTGTCATACCCACAGAGTCCAACCATCGAACACAGCGTGAAGGACGATTGCACTCTGCAAGTCAGTGACCGCGACTGCACACTGGAGTTCAGCGACCGAGACTGCAACCTGGAACTCAATCAATATGCCAACGACAAACACAGAGACAAGCAGGCTGAGGCTGGGGTTGGACCTGCAGATGAAAACCAGGCAGACGGGATTGGAAAACAGCCTCCAGCAGAGAGGAAAGAAGATCCGGAGTCACAGTCTGTGACAGGGACGGTCATGCGGCATAAATCCCGTCGGCGGGAGTGGATTATCGTTGGTTCGGCTCTTGGGGCTGTTGTTCTTCTTGTTGTTATCATTGTGCCCTCTGTGATATTTGGAACTCGTCAGTCTAGGCCACAGTATAAGCCACCTACGAACCCGTATATCCCATGAGACAATTGGGGGTCAATTCCGAGGGGACTTGGATGTATAGATTGAGGGTCCAAAGGCTGTTTCTTCGTCTGAAAGTTTATAGTTTGATCAGAGACATATGCAAATTGAGAGGTTAACGCCATATTGGGTATGCTTGTCCCCTGAATTGGTACCTTCTAATCCGTAGAAGCGAGAATAACGAGGTCCCAACTTCTCACGTCAATATCCTCGATACCACTGCTTTCCATGAGTACGACACATTATAAAGGATGGAATTAGCGAGAAAGGGGAAAGCTGCGACGAAAAAGGCGATAATAGACTAGATATGAAGTTAAGACCGAAGAGGTCCACCAACAGGAGAAACGGCCAAAATGGATACTCAGTCATGGAAGCATTTCGAGAAAGCGCGATTACACGCCCTTACAATAGACTGATAAAGGCCATGTTACTCCCAAAATTGAGAATTCTTTAGGCATGGTAGATTATAAAGAGGGATCTACAATCGTACTTTATTCGAACTAGCTCATGCCCAACTGGGGTTCAATAACGAATTGATGCTGATTTCCAATATTGCTGTAGAAGGAGTGTCCAGAGGTCCAAGGATTTCGGATGGTTACGAAGAGACATTCCCAAGAACTACCCACGAGATTACTGACTAAGAGTCGGGTGTATCGAGGTAGGTACCTTCGACGACCACCCCACCAAACCAAGAGCCCGCTTGGCAAAATCCCGGGTTGTATGTGGACATGAAACTGGTCCCATAAGCCTGTTGCAATCTTGACCAGGCGTTTCAAGCAGGCGATCACCAGGCTTCTAGCATAGGAGTAGTTATGCTTCGCCGTTGGCCGACACGAGTTGGGGGCCCAAACTGGTGAAGGCTGTTGATGATTGAATGTTGGATACACTCAGCAGCTTTACAGAATGTATCAAAATTAGTTTCATCTCTTTATGCTCTTTAATTCTTCCCCACTGACCAATTAGAAGGCTATAGTCTGTAGGTCACATGATGCCAACAAACCCTACTAGTTAGTTACTCCTAGTATAACTATATAGTCCTTGCAAGACTTTTGCTGCACTACGATTATATCATCCATGCACCCTTGCACAATATGTGCAAGCATAGAAGTTTTATTCTCTGACATACTGCATCTGGCTTCAGCAACACGTGTGAAGCCAATATCCCCTCTGGCCCCAATCACTGCAATCAGTACACTATGTCTGGAATGAGGAGGCGGATTTTTTATTGCAGATTTTTAGGGAATCCTTAGTCGAGATGATATCAAAAGAGAAAGCTATGCTTCATTTACTATGGGAAGAAATGTGGAAAAGGAAAGGAGAGACGGAGGAATCAGCGAAGGCTATCTCAGGTACCCATATACCCAATTTCGAACGCTGCGGTGACTTAGGTAGAGCCGGAAACTATAGATAGTTTTTTTTCCTAAAGAAAGTAATACCTGCAATATTCAGTAAAAAATAAGAAGCATATCCATTCCAACCTCAAACAGCAGTTATCATTTCAATATGGTAAGACATAACCCGACAGCCGCTAAGTCCTGATACCACGCCAACTTGGGGGCCAAAGATCTACATACGAGCCCCAAAGCCACCCTCAAATAAACACGATAGCCCCAACTGAATGAGACGAGAATACAAACGAAAATACTTCCAACTAACTCAAACCCCTCAAATGGTTAAAAGTATGCAATATCAATCCACCACTCCACCAGGCAATAGTGAATCTTTGACTAACTAGTTATTGAACCTATTAGAGCAAAACACAAAGCAATCCGAAAAGCCCAGCCCCTGAGATTAGCGTACCGCCAAAATGACCACTGAGGAAAATACACAGCAATTCCCACCACCGACAACTGACACCTACAAACAAGTCACAGTCGCGCGACCAACCCCAATCGAGCGCGGCAATGGCGACTGCACATTGCAGGTCAATGGCCAAGATTGTACGCTAGAGACCAGCGACCGGGATTGCACACTCGAAGTCGATAGACGGGTCGAGGATTCGAATAAGGAAGCTGTCAATCACAATCAAGTAGAAGCAGATGAAAGTGGGAACGGAGGTCCCGAGCTTAGTTCTCCTGTGCAGCGCAAGCTGAGATCTCATCGGAAATGGTACATCTGCGGTGGTGTTGGTATTGTGGTTATTTTGATTGTTATTATTGTGCCCACGCTAATTGCCACGAAGCATTGAGGTGATGTGCTTTTTTGTGACACCTTGGCGGGGTTGGACTGTTTGAACTCGGCATTGGGGACTTGATGCTTTGACCAAATAGGCCTAGGGTGATCGAGCGGTAGTTGTTTTGATACCCACTATAACTTGGCTAGAGCGATTTCGGTCATGATGGAGACGTTACGTTTGGTTTTGTCTATTACTATAAGCTTAGGTGTGTAGAAAATGAATTGTGTAAGTGATTAATCTAGCTTCGTACAATGTAGATTTATGTCGTATCAGATGCCCAGTGGTTGTTGAATAATATACCAAATAGTAAATAGTGGTTACACTAAACATCACGTAGAATCTTGGATTTTGGAATCTTTCACAAAGGTGTTTATTTGAAGTAATCGCTTTTTTAGTCTAGGACATACGAGTAGCCAAGAAAAGAGATAACTTAGACAGGTTCATGACTAGTTAAGGGCGACGGGGCACATGCACAAGAACCAGGATCACCATGCATTGTACTGCTGCTGCAGATGGAAGCCTTGGAACATAGCTGCTGGTAAAAAGATGAATCTATCCCATATACTATGGGACAAAGGTTCGTTTATTCCCACTCCCAAAGGTCCAAGGGTTACATCACAACCAGATACAACACAAATAGTAGTAGAAATGCGACCAAAGCTATAAAGCTTTAGTTCGGTTTGGAGACAGTTGTGCCTCCGGAGACCACAAGTGGTCCATTGCTAACAGCAGAATTTCCATTGCCGCTGTACGTTGGTGCGGGGGCCGAGGCCGTGACGGGTCGGTTTTTCAGATCAAAGTCGGAGGGGACTTCGGATGGCGGGGGTTTAGGAGGAAGATGGGCTGGCGTACCCCATTTTGCGATAGAGTCTCGCGGACCGGTGGGCACTCGGTTGGGAATCATAGCCGGGGTTGAGTCCATAGTCCGGCTAGGGGCGGGTTCCGGATACCCGTTCCATTGTTGCTGGACACCAGATTGCATGTTACCATACGACTGCATTGTGTGTTGGCCTTTGTTCGGATGACGCCCGGGAGGGGCACTGCCGGGGATGAATGATCGTGTCTGAGGGTTGAAGTGCGACCTGGCATATCCTGCTTGCATTGCTGCATGGGACCCAGCAGAATTTTGGAGAGCAGGATTCATATGTTGTCCAGGGTATTGAGCATAAGGGTAGGCGCCCATATTAGAAGGCATATTGGAGCTCATGTTAGGACCCATATTGGAACCCATGTTTGAATTCATGTTAGGCGGCATGTTGGAACCCATTGGCTGCTGAGGGTAATTGGGCCAATGGACAGGCGGTCCATTTCGCTGGTGCGGGGACTGCTGGAAATTTTGAGGGAAAGGGGCCGAGTTCCAATTGGGGGGTTGTTGGTACGGCGTCACATTGGGCACGGCATAGTTGTTCATTGCCGGCGAAGATGCGTTCGAGGACGGCTGGTTCATCATCCCCGGCTGATTTATCGAAGCATACCCAGAATATGGCGATTGCTGCGGCATGTTTCCTCCTTGCCATGAGTTATTGGAGGCCATCTGGGGCGACATTGTCACTGGATACTGGGAGACACCACTCATGTTCATGTTCAGTTGCCCAGGATACATGGCACCATTCTGACCAGAGGGCATGTATCCGCCAGAGGGTGGCGGCACGCCAGGTCCGACCAAGTAAGGTACTTGGTTTGGGTATGCGTCATTTACAGGAGCATTGTACTGAGAAGCGCCATTTCCGTATTGCATCCCTGGGTAGTAGGCATTGAACTGCGAGCGAACCTCAAAGCTGTCATCATGAGGAGTTCGCTGTCTCTGGTTCTTCTTGCGGCCGTTCGCCGAGCTGGAGCGTGACATGTTGGGATTCGAGTCACCGCTGGCCGGATCCGATTTGGCACTGTCGGGGAAATCACGGAAGATTCGTTCACGTACTTCATGGTATTTTGCCTCCCGTTCCTCCCTTGTTAAAGCCATTCGATCTTTAGCAGGCGTGGCGCCGGACGAAGATCCGTGGCGTTCTCCATCTGGTCCACTATCCCCATCTTCCGAGTTGGCCTTTGAAGGGTTTGACGAACCTCCAACACTCCCTTCAAATTGCCCTCCATCGTTTCGGCGCATGATTTTCATTGCCGGAACAGCTGGAGGTGGAGTGCTATTACAAGCAGCATGCACAGTAGACAAAGGAGTAGGTAGTCGGCAGAATGGTGTGCGATGAAGCCTGACCGATGTCACATTATTGTCGACAAAATGTGTCAAGTGATAGTAATCCCCCAGCTTGTGTGCAAGAAGTCGCCCAAATGCGTTCGAGGGGGGCAACTCCAGGGATTGCTCATTGCAGTCCTTGATAAAGTACCGAATCTTTTCCTCCAGTTGCAGGATCAGGAGCCGATCTTTCGGTGATTTCATTGCCTCTAGGAGTTTTTCATCCGGCTCTAAGGGAAACCCGTGTAAGATCTGACCATCTTCAATGCCATCGGAGTTGGCTGGAATCACAAAATTATTCGCGACCGAATCCGGAGGAATTGCACCATTTACCGGCTGGGTGCCGTTAAAGAGAGGAGGCACTGGCAAAATCCCGCGTGGGCGTGTAGGAATGCCATCTCGGTACTGATCCCGAAACGCGCGACTGCCAGCTTCGGAACCTGCCACTGAGTTCGGAGCCCCAGAAGCAAGCCCAGAAAGCGACTCCTCTTCATCAATGGCTTGGACACTAGCACTGTCATCGGGACGTACAGAATCCTTTTCATCCATTGCAAATGTCGTCACCGAGGCAAGACTCTTGGAATCGAAGTTGGTCATTTTGGTGGATGAAGTAGAAAGGTGAGTGCGATCATCTTCAAATGAGTTCTCCCGCTTCAGCAAGCCATTGTTTTGGCCACCAATGAAAGAGCCTGAGCCATCACTGTGTTTCTTCAAGGTGAGGGCAATATCCTGCACACCTTTCCCTAGATCATCAACAGCTAGATCAATGGAACTAGCCTCTGGCGTTTTATCGAGATTATGCTGGCTGGGCAAAGCTGCACCGGAGCCATTTGCTTCTGATCGAGGTGATTGTTCTGCTGGCTGAGATATTTCGTTTTCATCGGATGTCGAGGAAGAATGTGGGTTGAGGGGCGCGGGCATAGCAGCAATCTTGTCAGAATTAGCGATGGGCCACGAGGTAGTGGAGCAAACCCTTGGCTTACCTTTGCAAAGGAGAGAGGGCCGTCTCCACCTGGGGGACTTTTTGATGCCATGATAACACCCCGCGCGGGATGGTCACTGAGACTGGTTAAATTTCACAAAAAGGAAAAAAAAAAATCCGAGATCAAGTCAAGCAGCGGCTGCACTCAGCACGCTTCGGATTCACAAATGTCAAGAAGGTCGAAACTTGTTTGGTTGGAAGTAATGTCGCTGCGTAATTTCGTTTCACACAAGCCCAAAACGAAAGACATATCTCTGGGGCAGGGCAATCGCCATGGAGAAAGCTGTGGAAAATGCGCATTAGAACCATGCAAGTTATAGAATAAGGAGATCCACAGGGTCGATGGGGAGAAATATCCACTTCAATGAAGCAGGAAATTTAAGCAGATCCGGGAATGGGGCCTTACATGATATCAAAGCTGGCTCATAGTCAGGGAGATGAGGATCTCTTACTGAGTTTTGAGGGGATTCCAGATCCGGTAGTTATTTGAAGAGCCGATCAACTCTAGATCATCCGTCCGAGATGGATGACGTGAACGTTGACAATGAACTCCGATATCAAGAAGGAACGTTGGGAATCCGAATTCTGATTTCTTGATTGCCTGAAGATTCGTGGGTATTATGCCGCGCCCGACCGCCCTTGGCGCGCGCCTACAATTTCCCTTAGGCTTCAAAGGTTAACAGTCGCTAACTTGCGCCGATCAGCTTCACGTCGGATATTGCCTTTGTTTCTCATCGTGGGTGTGCCGATACCCCTATTCTGGTCTCAAAGTACCCGCCAACCCAGGATTTTACATGAACTCACCACATCACGAGCTCCAATGAACCGATATCGAAACGCCCCGAAGCTCGGAGGCTCCAACTCCAATAGGGCCACTGCGACCACACTGTGCCAAAAATGCCTCGGACGAGATATGTACCCTCTTTCGCTTTCACTTCGGACGTTTGACTAACTCTGATTCACGACACTACAGTTTTGATTGCAAGGCATCCGCACAAGAGCGCCCATACATCCCACGACCTTCACGGACTCAGCAGCTACTGAACCCTGAATTGATGCCCAAGCTTTCAAGTGAGAATCCAAATGAGTTGCTACGGAAGTAAGTTCGCATGAATACCTCCCATTTCCGCACATTTCCTTTTTGAAGAATATTTGCTGACTTGAATAAAGAGAGGGCGTAGCGGATGAACTACTTGCTTCTCGGGAGGAAGAGCGTGGCCGGAAGAGAGACCTTGACGATATGACAGATCGCAATGCTCATTCTCCGAAGCGGGCTAGGTCCCTCTCTGTGGAGACGATATCCACGAATCGATCATATTCCTCATCTCCCCGCCGTAACAAACACGGCACAGCCGACAGGGGCCGTCGAGATGATTCATCAGCACCTCCTGCAAAGTCCCGAAAGAGACGTTACAGTGATTCTACAGAGGGTTCTTCGGGATCAGTCCACTCGGGACCAAAGAACCGCTCACCCTCTAGGGAGCGGACCGATGACCGAAACACCCGGCGACGGAGACGAGAATCTAGCCCTGAAGAACGAGGCCGTCACCGTGGATCAGGAAGACATCGCGAGCGGAGAGATCGCCGAAGCAAGAGTGCGGATAAGGATCGAGTGAAAGAATCACGTGCTACGACTCAAGACGTTCCCCGGGACCGTTCATACCGTGATCGAGCAAGCCCACCACGCCAGTCTCAACCTGGACCATCTAGGCCTGAACCCATAACTCAGAAGAACCAACCTCCACGGGAACGAAGCTTGAGTCCTTTCAGTAAGCGCCTTGCTTTGACTCAAGCCATGAATAACGGACGGTAAATTGAATTGAAAAAAGTGCTCTGCAACATTGGGGTTTTTTTACGGCGCAAAATATTCATGGGGGACACGGCGCCGATTCATGTTCCATCAGTATATGACCAAGTGTATCATTAGCATCTCCGTCGCGGAGTTTGAAAATAACTGTCACTCGACAGCGGAACCTCCCCCTCCCAAAAAACAAACAAAAACATTCGAATAATGAATTCTAAACGACACTAAGATAGACATGTTCATTGAGAATCTTGAGTTGTAAACCTCCCAACGCCTCATTTTTGTGCGCAATATGCCCATGGCGTCCAATTGACGCCTCAACCAAGATAACAAAAAAAAAAAAAGGGAAAAAGTAAATGGAGAGAGTATAGACAATTACAGGTGGAGGCAGAAGACCTAGACAAAGCTCGCATTCCTGTAACAAAGGGTATCACGTTCAAATCATTTCTTCGTCGCTCTTCTCTTCCTCTCGTTCGCGCATATGGATGCCCCCAACGAGCGTCTGACCTTTCATGCCCACTTCCTCTCCCTCCTCGTCTCCGTCAGAATTAGCGCCACCTGTCTTTGCAGCACGCTGCGCCTCCTCTACCCGCTGTCGTAAGAGGCGGGCAATCGCATTGTCCGTTCGTACGTCGAGAATCTTGAGCTTTTCGTCCAGATCGCGCTTCAGGTCCCAGTTGGGTTTCTTAGGTTGCAGTTTGAGTAGATCAACGGCCTCGTCGGCACCTGCGTCCTTCTTGGTTTGTTCTTCTATGGCCCTGGCAATCTCAGCCGCCTGTGCTTCCACCGTCACCTGGCCCTCTTGGGGGCCTTGCTCGAAGCCCAGTTTAGGTCCGCGGGTCTCGGCGTCATAGTTGCGGCCAGACAGGTACTTTGTGGTCACATCTGGCGTGGCATCGGCGTCGGGCAGCTCCTCGTCTTCTGCACTGGGCTCGTTTGCCTCTGGCTCGGGTTGCTTGCGCTTCAGAGCCGCGAGCTTGGCGAGGCGGGCTTTGCGGTCGGTGGATGCCGCATCAAGATTGGCATGGGTTGACGACATTTTTTTCGAGTGATAGTCGGCCTGATGATGGAGAGAATAGATTGGTTTGAGTACTAGTAAATGAAGTGACTGAAGTTACCGGAAGAAAATCCCAAGCTCCTCCGCGGCTTGCAAGTTGAAGATGATAGAGCGATAAAAGTAGATGTGGTGCGCCACACACTAGCCACGGCAAAATCGGGCGGAATGGGGGAATTCAACTTTCTGTCATCGGACTTTGACTACTTTCTCCACGCGCGATATTTGACCTATTTTCTTCGTCTTGGTCTTTCCCACCCAAATGTTTGTGGACACAAGATCCTGAATGTCATCGTGTCCGCACCAACTCGTTCGGTCCCGTCTCAACGGGTTGCTCTCACCACAATGTCGGAGCCCAGGCCGATGGTATCGGGAGTCGGGGACGGCGAATGTCAGTCATAGAGCGCGCTTCTCCACATATAATGCTCTAGCGATCTTAGAACCTGGCATGACGCATGATGCCCCTGACCCCATATCATATCAAAACAATCGCGATTCCACCGACAGGTCATATCCGCCGACAAGTGAACAATCAGATCAGGTCGCAACAAATCGGTATGGCATGGGCCATGGACGATCAAAATCTTCCACCCAACCACGAAGGTCATCGCAGACACCGATTATAACGAATGATAAAATGAAGAAGGTTGCCTATGTGCGACAAGCTGATCCCAAGCTTGTGGCCATGGCGGCTGAGAGAGTCAACCGCGAAATCTTACACAACGGTAGACATTTGACCGATCGAGGGTTATACCTGGCGCTTGCAATGCGAATGAATTCGCTTTATACGCGTGAGTTGGGACTCCGTCAGTGGAAGCAGGCATATGGAGCAGTTCACACGGCTAAGACACATGGCCATGAGGTCTTGAACAAATCTGCATTGCCAAAGCTGGGAGAAGATGGCGAGCAACTGCTGGCCTTGCTTCTTGATGACTGCCAAGGCAAGTTTCGAGAGACATGGCTGGTAATGAACCGCCCTAACAGGGCCAGGGCCTGGCAACGCCTGGCCATATGGCTGTTGCAAAATAATCCGGCAATGGCCTTGGAATTTTTACTCGTCACAACCGAGCCTCGAGATAAACCGGACTTTACTATGGTTGTCGATTGCTTGGTCTACTTGGAAAGATTTCATTATGAAGAGCTCCGGGATTGGACGAAGGGTGCTCACACATTCGAATCGGTTGTTGAAACTTCCCTCGATCCGAAGGACTGGCCAATTATCTCCCCGCCACAAAGGGGTATACGGTTCTATATTCGCCGAGCAGGCTTCTTGGGTGTCTACGAGAGTTTCCGTTTAATGAACGAGCGAGGCATTACGATGCAAGCGCAAACAGCACTTTGCTACATGTACCGATTCACAGAGCTGAAGGACGTGGAATATGCCCTTAGAGCCCTCGAACTCATTCCAAAAATCAATGATCCTCAATTTTCCATGGACTCTGAAGGAGTCCTGCGGCACTGTTGCAAGCTCCTGACCCTGGACACTGTTGAGGATAACGCCGGAGGACGCAATTTCCGGATCCTCCCACGGCTTCTCAAAATGGGCGTTCAGCCAGATCGAGACATGATGAATCTCGTGCTTGCCAATGCTTACAAAACCGGTGATCCTCAATTGGGGTCGGACATGCTTCAGTTCATGAAGAATCACCACCACGAATTTGATTCCTATACATACTTGACTCTCCTCACTGATGCAGTATCTCGAGGCGACCGGGGCCGTGTGGACGAGTTGGTGCGGGAAGTCGAGATGCAAGAGGAACTACGAAACAACCCATACATTTTCAGCAAAATCTTCCACGCCCATTTCACTTTTACCGCCAAGCATATTGACCCCGAGAGCGATCCCTCAGGAGTATTTTACTCTATGCTCGACATGTACAACAAAATCCACGACATCACACCCCTCAAAGAACTCCTTCTACTCCCTCCCCAATATACACCGCCGCCAACTCAAGGACTTGAAGTCAAAACTCCACCTTCTCCCGTATCCTTGTTCCTCATGATCGCAACCTTCTTCCGTTGCAGGAACCGCATATCACAAGTACATCACATGTATGACAGATTCCGTGAGCTTGTGCAGCAGGGTCACCCATCCATTGCTCCTCTGGTCGAAACCGACCATGTCTATAATGAGTTCCTTATTGCTTTCCGCAAGAGCAGCCGTGGACTGCGATCAAGCATACGTCTCGTCGAAGACATGCTTGACGCATCTGCCATGCCGAAAGAGACTACTACTGGCAAGCCTCTCAAGCACATTATGCCCACGCCTCGCACTTGGACTATCCTCCTCAGTGCCTTTAATTACAGCCGTCAACCCGACGCAGCCGAGAAAGTCAAGGATATGATGGCCAAGCACGACGTGGAGTACAACCAGGTGACTTGGAACACCATCATCAACGGATTCGCGAATGCACAGGACATCCCTGAGACTGCTAGTGCAATCACGAAGATGGAAAAAGAAGGCTTTACCATTGACCATTACACGATGAAGAGTCTACGTTATCTCCGTGACCCAGAACGCCTCTGGGTAGCGATCGAGGAGATGGATGAGGGCCTTGACTCGGATGGAACCCGTAAGCTTCTCACTCTCGAGCCCGCATCTGATGTGCACAGTGACCAGATGGAGCACGACGAGCTCATTGACAATGGCTTGGAGAAGTTGGAGTTAAAGTTGAAGCCTAAGATGTAAGATAGGATACCCTTTTGTCTTTTATTGTTGCCTTTTTGTGGGCAAAGCAACCTGGGAGCATTTTGGACGCATAGGTGTTCTAGAAGTGGCTTTGAACTTTTTTTTGTAAATTTGAATATCATGTACTATACATTGCATCATCATGAATTTGTTCGTTTGAATGTCTCATTGCATCTGGAGACTGTCACATGGAGTGGAAATAGTAATCTCATAGTCCTCACTCCAAGGTTACTTGAGGTTTGATTGTCACGAAGTCGGAGACTACTGCACAACCGCACAACTTATTGATCCCCATTGATACCCCATGGAAACTTTCCTTCAATCACCCATTGAGATTTAAGCAAGCTTAACCACCGAAGAAGATCGAGACCTGCATGCAACGTCAGTATCTCTCTTCATACATCTGGACTCGTGGAAGAGGGAACTTACTGCCATCACGACACAGCATATGCTGACGTACGGGCTAAGTCGCTCTCCGACCCGAGCACACTTCCAGAAGATCCCAAAGATTCTACATCAAACAACCGTCAGTCTCCCCGCCATCTTTCTCCACCCCCGGATCCGAACCCTCAAGTGAGAACCTACCCATTCTGGTTCCGGTCCATGATCCCCGGCATTATCGAGTGAGCATAGCTGCTCGTGCAGATTATCAGGAGAATCACGAGAAGCAACGACTGGAAGTTGAAAAGAGCAGACTAGGTGAGTGTGACAGTTAGCACATTGCGACCATACAGTCATTGTGGTTCCGACGCAAACACAGAGTTGCATGTTCCCCACACCACAGAGCAGCCACTCCTATTAATCCTGTTATGTGCATTAACTCACCATTTTGTGCGGCTGTGAAATCTTCGCCCGTCACTTGGGCAAAGAAACAGAATTGCGACAGTAAGTTGCCAGATAGCTTGCATGTGCCAAGGTTGCTAACCAACCCCAGTCTAGCATATTCTGCCCATCATGTCCGCCAAACGCACGAGCCAAGCGCCCAAGCGGGTATCGTTTTCACTGCCGAGCCAGAGCCCATCTCCGCTACCTTCTACGCCAACTCCGCAGCGCATCTTGCCAGATATATACACTGGCTTGCATACCCCAGACACCTCAAATTCAGCTCCAAACGCTCGCTTCCGGACTCCAGACCCCGTCTCACCCACTCCAGACTGTCACCTGCAAACTCCGAACACAGCAACTCCAACTTCAAACTCCGTCTCGGCAACTTCAACCCATCACTTGCAAACCCCGGAATCAACTTCTAAGTCTACCTCATCCAACCCGACTGGTAATCCGTTGCGCCAGCCTAGCTCCAAAAACCTTGTCTCCAAGCTCTCGCCAAATTGGTATTTCAATGAGCAAGACACAGCGTTAATCCGAGCCGGATACGAACCTCAGTGGACTCCCAACCCAACTGACACGACACCTACCTCCACCGAAAAGGGCAAGAAAGGTACCGCAACCAAACCCGCCATGGCTGAACCACGTGCACGTATGGCCCGACACAAGGGCCAAATGAACTTCCAGAATGAACGTAAGTACCTGCAGCCCACACGCATCCATCAATGGAAGCTACCAATCAAGCTTAATACTAACCATCTTCACAGTCCGTCTGCTCCTTCTCGCTTATGGCGACCCCAGCCCACACCCAAGCTTCCCAAACGAACCACTTCCCGAGACCGTCCGTGTGCTGGACGAGATTGTCACCGACTTCGTACTTGAAGTCAGCCATGGCGCCGCACAAGTCGCGCACCACGCCCGCCGTCAAAAGATCAAAGTCGAGGACTTCCGCTTCGCACTACGTCGGGACCCGAACAAGCTCGGCCGTGTCCAGGAGCTGTTACGCATGGAACGTGAATTGAAGGAAGCCCGCAAGGCATTCGACCAGAATGATGACCAGGTTGCCAAGGAAGCTGGAAAGAAGGGTGCAGCCGCTGCGGCAGCGGCGGCTGCTGCTGGTGAGGATCCTGTGGCCGCTGAAGCTGCTGCTGCTGCTACTGTCACCAAGAAGAGCAAGGGCAAGGGCAAGAGAGGTGCTTCGACCCGCCGTGGATCTGATGCCACTGAGGAGTCGGTTTCTAAGAAGCGCAAGACGATTGGCTGAATACGCACAGCACCCTTAATAGCCCCACCTACGCCGGCCCAGGTGTCTTGTGGGTCACGACGACCATGACTTAATACCCAAACTGTGTTTCTTTTTCCAAACAATGTACAATTACTTTTGAATCACCATGAAATAGCCGGAAAATGCAATGAGAATGGATACTTGAATTGCAATGCTCACTTGATTTACTTCAAGAAACGTAAGATAAGTACCATCACTCGCAAATTTGACCGCCAGTGAATCCTCAATATGTTTTTGTTTTTGCTTCGTATATTTACGTATCTGATGATTTGTGGTCCTGGGCTAATACGGTAGACCCTGGGACTTGGTCTGGTTACTGCCATGAAACCAGGGAGATTCCCTCTGGTATTGATCATTTCCCTGAATAATCGTTTGGCTAGCGCCCTTTGCTATGTATATTGTTATCTTATTTATATAGTTTGTATATATAGAAAACCAAGGACCATGCACGCGATATGGTGTGGGCTATCTTCAAGCAAATTCTCCGACCTTCAAAACGTCCGACTCAGAAGTCTCAGACTGGAGAGTTTCCAGTTCTTGCACGTCCCAGCTGACAGATAGGTGACGGCCATTGAGATACTTCGGACCCTTCACACCCAGGTATACTGTCGTAGTGTCCGTCAATTCAACTATATGAGTGGCATCACGTTAGTAATTACACTCCCCAAGGAAATGTGATGCTTTGTGAATGTACCAGCATATCACCGGAGGCAAGCCATACGCCGTCACGTTGGCGTTCTCGCACTGACAAATTTTGTCAGCTTGGCTAAGCTTAGCTTGATAAAAATCAGGACATTTACTAATTTTCACCTGAACTTTGCCGTATTTAAACAGCGATAACACAGCGTGTCCAGCACTGGAGGGGTTAGGGCAATGCTTCTCCCGAGGTCAGTATTGCGGGAGTTATCTCTTCTATCATGCACGTTGGTCACAGAAGGAAAGATTGCATGAAGAGTTCAAGGATCTAAAAAGAACTAAACAATTGCTTCCCTCGACATCTCCTACCTGGAGAGAGCTTTCATTCCGGATCCTGGACGAGATACTAGTAGCATGCCCACGGCCTGGATCGTCTCTACATTGTCCCAATTCATAATTAAAGTATTTAAGGTTCGGGCCCGTTAGTCTCCCTACCTACGTACATAATACATGCCTAATGTGTGTACATATTCTTTCTAAGTGAACCCTTCGCTAGATTTCCCAAGGCTAGCGAAGTGGAGGCGTTCCTGGATGAGCCTCGAGTCTCATGCGGGGTACTTCGTGTTTAGCGCCCTGATCCAACCTGCATGGACACATCAACTCAAATTATACGTGTGTGTTTCTCGTCAGAATCTTCTCATTATTTAACTTTTCTTGATTTTAAAACGCCAGATTCCGACAGCAACTAGCAGGTCTCAACGTGCCGTTAAAGAGCCTTGGAGTGCACGTACCTCTCATCTCGTCCTTCTACCTAAAAAAAAAATGCCGCAAAACCTACGGTAAGCATCTTGACAATTAGTTTCGATTTTACCGATCCCTGACCAGCTATTATTGCGTAGGCATGAGAAGAAGGCCCAGGATCCTGGTTTACGCACGCGCTTCAAGGCCAAATTTCACTGGCGCCGAGCAAAGGCCGAGTCCATCGCCCCGGGGGTTCCTGTAATAGAAACAACAAACCATACAAATGATGGCGACCAAAATAAGGTATCGACGATGCCTAATGGGAAAATAATACTGGATGACCAGAAACAACTGACCGAAGAGGTTGCTGGAGTGCCCGAAAGGATTCCCCAGATGGCACTGGTGGTTGATGATGCTCATAACGATGATGCTAAAATGAAGCCGAAAAACCTATGGGACGAGGCATTCCTGTCTCTCAGTCCTGATGAGCAGGCTCATTTGAAGGCAATACTTGGTGACGGGCAAGTTTCTTCAATGTTTACCAAGCCCGACTTTGCAAGTCTCAAGGTTGATGTCCAACGGAAGCAGGATCAATGTGAAGAAAAGTCTTGGAAACTCTCTTTCGGGGACCATGTCATTGTTGTTAAAGACTTTGCAGCAAAGTCTGCCACATGGCTGCAGAAACTTGGAGACTTGGTCATTCCGTTTGCCCCAACCGCGGCATCGGCCCCGTGGGGCTTGATTAAGGGTGTTTTGCAAATACCTATTAGCTACGATCACCAAATGCTTGCCTTGCTTGGGACCATGGACGAGGTTTTCAAGGTTGTGTATCATGGCCAGATTTACGAGATGCTCTATACACCCGAAAGAACACGCGATGATGTGCTGCAAACCCTCCAAACCGAATTGCATGGTATATACAAAAGCGCATTGGAACTGATTGCATACACTCAAAAACAACTCTCTGGCGGCACATTGAAGAATATAGTTGAGGCTATTGCCAGCCCCGATAGCGCGGATGGCCTTTTGAGTACATTAAAAGCTCGCCATGTTGGTCTCAGCCATGCCGCTCAGTTATGTGAAAGTTGGCGCAGTGGAGAAGTCGATGATCGCTTACTGGATGGATTGCGCGCCATTAGTGAACCGATGGTGCGCTTTGAGGAGAACTTCCAGACCTACTTCGATGAAATGGAAAGCGCAAAGATGATCCAAATCTTGGAGGCAATATCGTCTATTCCATACACGACACACCACCAAGAATATCAAGAGAAGCGGACTACCGATACATGCAATTGGCTATTGGAAGATGAAGGATTCCGTGCGTGGGAGAGCAGCAGATCCTCTGGGGCCTTTTGGCTTTGGGGCACAGGTGCGTCTTCAGCTACCCCGTATAAAACAGTCCTACTAATAACTCATAGCTGGAACTGGGAAAAGCTTCCTGACATCCAAGGTTATCGATCATCTGCAAGAAAATCTGGAGGGAACTCCAAACCACGAGCGCCTGGCATTCTTTTACTGTCGCCGAACTCAGGGCGAAGAAGAACGCAGCAGGCCATTATCGGTCCTTCAAAGCTTTTTACGACAGCTCGCTTGTCATTTGGACAAGCCGGAATTGATGCAGTCAGGCCTGGTTGAAGCTTTTGATAAGGTTCAAAAACACAAAGGCAGCTTTAATCGATCGATATGCGAGCCTTTGCTCGAGGAATCTTTCAAAATTTATCCATGTACAACCTTGGTCATCGATGCACTGGATGAATGTGACAGTGCATCGCGCGACGAGCTTATCGAGTTTCTTGGCCGTGTTATTCCTGGAGCTTCAATGCGAGTAAAGATCTTCATCTCTAGCCGCCCTGATGATGATATCAAAAGAAAGTTTGGTACTGGGCAAAACATCGGTGTCCTCAGCGACAGATCCCGAGGCGACATGCGCCTGTTCATTGATCAGAGGCTCCAGAGCATGATGAAGACCAACCACGCGATTGAAAAGTCGAAAAACAAGATTTCCGAGCGACTTTTCTCAAAATGTGACGGCATGTGAGTTCTTCTTAAATTCCCACCTACCTGAGATGCAGGCAATATTAATTAGAATCGAAAGGTTTCAATGGACACATCTTCAGCTTGAACAGTTGAGAAGTTGCAGAACCCAAGAGTCAATCGAAGCCCGTTTAAATTCTCTCCCTTCTGGCCTGAAAAAGGCGTACGATGAGATATATGCCCGAATCAAAGAGCAGGATGAGCTCGCCCAACAACTTGTGGACCGCGCTGTCATGTGGATCATGTGCGCTGCTAGACCGTTGACTAGCAATGAGATCTTATCTGCAATTAGGGTCGATACCAAAGAACAGGACCTCCAGACATCAAGCGAGATAAATGAAGAAGACCTTCTCTTTTTCTGTCAGCACCTCCTTGTCATCGATCATAAGGGAATATGGAGAGTGTCCCATCTCTCAGTCATGGAGTATTTTGAGCAGCAATACTGGACCCTTCAAGAAGCGCACATAAATGTCGGCAATGCTTGTCTTTTGGTCCTTCTTGACATGCCTGAGCCGAATGGGGACCTTGAATCTGATGAAGAAACAGAGCACTCAAAGGAAACCACAACCACAAACATGTCGAGAGCACTCAGCTTGCATGTCGACTTCCAACAATATGTTCAGTGGCATTGGGTCATCCACGTACAAGCTCAGAACAAAAGTCAAATATCCCAAACCAGCTCAATGAAGGAACTGCTGGTAAAATTCCTGGGCTCTCCCACAAGGAGCAGCATTTGGTACAGGTTTTGGCACCAGCGTATTCTCCTCCATAGCGAGAGGGCTGTGGGTTACCAAATACCGCTCACATCACCACTGTCTCGCTATGGGATGCTTGAAACAATATCACCGCCTGAATTTCCAATGCTGGCAGTATGCAAATTAGGCATTTATGCGGCATTGGGGGAATGGTGGGATAATCTTGACGGCTGCCTTGAACAAGTCAACTCAATGGGTCTTGGACTAATTCAACTTGCTACAGAGGCAAACTGTACTCCAATTTGTGATCTCCTTTTAGACGCAGGAGCCCCAGTGGACATGCAATCCCAAGGAAACAGCCTTTCTACTGCTATCGACAACCGAAATCTGGAACTTGTTCAGCTTCTACACACGAAGAATCGCTGTGACTGGAACTGGCTGATACAACATGACACATTCCAATACATGTTATATGATGCATTCAAAAATAGTGATTGCAGAATTGGTCAATTCTTTGCCGCTGACGACAGGCTTGATGTGAATATCCATATTGAGCATCATGGAAGTTTGCTTGAGGCAACCGTCGATGCAAATAATCCAATGATGGCTGAATTATTGATCGATCGTGGTGCCGATGTTAATCTTGCTCATGAAAGTGCGTTATGGGGGAGTGTACTTGCCAAGGCTGCCGTCTGTTCAAATCTAGACATGTTGAAGTGTCTACATCGAAGAGGGGCTGATATCGATCTTCTACTGAGGAGTGGAGGATATGGAAGTGCACTTACTGCCGCAACTGCTTCATCATATAATGACCCAGATATAATCAAATATCTCGTTGATTGTGGTGCCAATGTGAACCTCAAATCGAAATGTGGAATACATGGGAGTGCACTAGCCTTCGCAGCTTCATCATGGGAGTGTCGAGACGCTGTCAAATATCTAGTGGGCTCTGGTGCTGATATCAATCTTCTTCTGGAGTGTGGAATGTACGGGAGTGCACTTGCTGCTGCCACCGCCTCTACTTCAATAAATGGCACTACAGAGAATCTCGAGTACCTAGTTGAAAATGGTGCTGATGTGAACCTTCTGCTGGAGGGTGGAGATTACGGCAGTGCTCTTGCCGCTGCTGTTTCAAGAGATGACATGCCTGCGATCAAGTGTCTAGTGGACTTCGGTGCTGATATTAATCTTCTACTTTGTTGTGGAGAATATGGGAGTGCTCTTGCTGCTGCTGCCGCTTCACCATGGGCAGATCTAGATCTTCTCGAGTATCTAATGGACTGTGGTGCTGATGTGAACCTCATACTAAAGTGTGGGAAATATGGGAGTGCGCTTGCTGCTGCTGCCGCTTCATCATGGGAGAGTCTAGATATTGTTAGGTATCTAGTGGACCAAGGCGCTGAGATCAATATTCCGCTGAATTATGGAGTGTTTGGCAGTGCACTTGCGGCTGCGGCGTATTTTGGCAACAAGGAATGCGTTGAGTTCTTGATCAGCAAGGGAGCATTGGTGGATCTCAAGGTGAATCAGGACCGGTTTTCTAATGCTGTGGAGGCTGCAGAGGCCGAGCCTTTGATAGAGGAGCTCGATTTATGGAATTCCACCTTTGGCTTAGAATCTCGAGTTGCGAAAAGGGTGGAGGTTTCCAAGTTCCTTCGGTCTTTATTGGATACACAGTCTTCTTAGGTCATGTATCTTACAGTCGTCTCTTCGAACGATGGGCAATAAGTAGACAGCGAATAAGATACGTAGACCAACTAGGCTAAATATCAAAAATCGAGAATTATTGGCTTACAGCCGACAATAAATGAAAGGTAATTCTATGGATTTGAAACTATGCATTGATCAAGGAGGGCCACAACGTCAGCCTTTACTATTCCTATAAGTTATCTGATGTTTTTCATAGTTAGAGATAGAGAGGCTTTTATCCATTCCTAGTTCACACCGATAAATCTGAATCATGTCATTTTTTTACTCGTTATTCTCCATCACTGTCGACCAATTCCAGATTAGACATTCAAATTTCGAGATACAGCCCCGGGCAGATATAGCCTCTTTAGGATTAAACCCTTCCCTCTCCAGCAAATAACTCAATATACTGAGGGGCTCTTTACCTCCATTTTCTAGCATTTAACCAGCAAGGGCATAAAAGCCGTGTGTTTGTCTAGCGGGGCTGGGGTTGCACAGAGCCTGCAAGGCCTTAAGACCGAGTTAAAACTATGACAACGTACGGTGATATTTTCGGCCAATGAGATTCATATACATGAATATGTGAATATAACTTGTGTAACATCCATATAGTGTTTTCTGAGGGCCTGTGATGTGGAGGGTATTGATTTGGTCTTAAAATTGCATGTGAACGAACTCTTTAGATAACGCACTTATGCACCAGGCTCGAATGTTAAGAGTATAACATAAATAGTACAGATACAGCGATTCACGCATAGTATGTATGTGAAAAGCCATTGTTGGAAGGGGATGATACATACATCTTTATAATCTCTCAATATTCTCATGCAAGATGTATGGCTATATCATTCTTTGATATGTAGATAGCTTAGAAAGTATATTCAATCCTTCTTCTTTCTTTCAATTAAATGACTAGGGGCAGATTATAACTATATAACAGACAATCCTCCCATGTAAAATGCAACATAAAAGCCATTGTTTTACGAAATTTCCCCCGGTAACTAAATTCGTCATGTCTCCAGACTCAGCATTACTTGCTATCGCTATACTAGTAGCGGGTTATTGCCTCATAATCACCCACGTGGACCCGAACCCTCATCTAGCCAAGAAAGATCGCAACCGGGTAGATCGGGTTAGATTCCTCACAGGAAGGGCTTTGCCTGTCTTCAGCCAAGTATGCACCGTTGTCGCGATCTACCACGCGCTCCTTACCATGATTACTCGGTACACTCCTAATCGAGTGTCACAAATATGCCCTCTGGCTCATAACATCAAACCCGAACTTTTTGCGTGGAATATGGCGTCTGTCGTTCCCCTCCTCCTCATCTACGTTGGCACATATATACGAATATCGGCATACGGTGGACTTGGCAAACTCTTCACGCTGCACTTAGTACCACCTGATCATCTGGTGACAACAGGAATCTATAGGTGGATCCAACATCCTAGCTACACAGGAATAGGGATGATATGGTGGGGATGCTTTGCATTGTTTCTTCGCTGGGATGCGACCCCCGCTTGTTGGATTCCAACGTTAGCATTGTCCCAATGTTATGGCTGGGGTGCTAGCATTCTTACGGCTATTGCCGGGTCTGTGGTCTGGTTCTTTGGCGGGAGGGTGCTCGATGAAGAACTAATGCTGCAAAGGAAGTTTGGGCAACAGTGGGAGCAGTGGCATCGCTCAACAAAGAGATTGATCCCGGGTCTATTTTGAACCTGATGAGATGTACAATATCTGACTGAGTGGTAGATCTAGAACGCAGTATCGGGGTTGTCTATAAAAGACACCCACCTAGCCAATATTCTTCTTAGAGAAGATAACCACATATCCTCATCCAGTGAATCAATATCGTTTATTATTGTTTTCATAACATCACCGATCTTCCACTCGGACAGTAAGTACTGGCTGCACATAAGCACCAAATGGTAATGCTGGACCATCATTTGGGCTATTCTGGGGACAAAACTGGTTGTCATTTTGCGGTCGAGAGGTGAGGAGGGGGAGTGCATAATAGAAGGGGCGAGACCTAGCTGAGAATCACCCGGGCTCGCGCGGTCACATTGGTAGCCATAGACTATATCGACTTCCAGATATTTCCAGGTAATAAAAAATGGGCTGCTCGTATTCTGTATACTAGATAGACAGAGAAATTGGCCAATAATGAGCCAAAATATATCATTAGCGCTGGGGGAGGGGTTGGGCAGCTGACATTGCTTACGGAGCGTTGCCTCAACCACCCTAGACACAGAAACCTCTCAAAATTATGTCAATATCTTGCAAAAATTAGCTAGATCTTCATTTATACATCATGAATGGGGTTACTCGAGAGTTTTCCCATTCAGACTACACCGTTGGGTGGATATGCGCCTTGCCGCAGACCGAGCTGGTAGCCGCTGGTGCCATGTTGGATGATGAACACCCTGTTCTTCACGCAGCCGATCCAAATGATATAAATTCTTACCTGCTGGGTAGAATCGGGGATCATAATGTGGTGATTGCGTGTTTACCAGCAGAGCAAACAGGAAAGGTTCCCGCTGCGACTATAGCAAAAGACATGGTGCGCAGCTTCCCAGCCATCAGATTCGGATTGATGGTTGGAATTGGAGGAGGTGCACCATACAATAGGAGGAAGAACGAAGGAGATATCGATGTCGATGAATCCGATGACTCTGAAGATGAGGACCCGGACGACATCCAAGACATCAGATTGGGAGATGTAGTGATCAGTCTGCATTCAAAGTCTTCGGAAGCCGTCGTTCAATATGACTTTGGAAAATCTGTACAGAACCAGGAGTTTATTCGTGCTGGGGGTCAGCTGAACAAGCCCCCGGGAATTGTCCTAAATGCTGTCTCTATGCTGCAGGGTCAGCATGCACGGAAAGGCCACAAAATTTGCGAGCTACTATCCAAAATGCTTGCAAACAATCCGCGAATGGAAAAGAAATTCAAGTACCCTGGATCAGCGAAAGATCAGTTATTCAAGTCTGAAACTTATCACGTCGAGGGAAAGAAGTGCGAGTCATGCCGCGGCCCTGATGATGCGAATCTGGTGAAAAGAAAGCGGCGGTCGAGTGATGAGCCTCAAATACATTATGGAACGATTGGATCTGCAGATCAAGTGATGAAGGATGCTCTCTTGAGGGACAAATGGTCACAAAGGGAGAAGATAAAATGCTTCGAAATGGAAGCTGCAGGTAAGTATTCAATATCTTTATTTATAGCCTTATTTTGTTGTTTCTCACCTTCCTAACCAGGACTCATGGATACGCTTCCATGTCTTGTGATCAGAGGCATCTGTGACTATTCCGATTCACACAAGAACAAGATTTGGCAGCCATATGCCGCTACTGTTGCCGCTGCCTACGCAAAGGAGCTTTTGCTCGGAATTCCAGGACAGGGTGTCCTCCGCTTGCCTCCGGTTGAAAAATGTAAGTAACATCTAAAGTTATCATTATAAATTGGAAGAATTTCATCGGTGGTACTTTCTATGCTTTAATGGTTATACCTCTTTTTGGGGGCATTTCGTGCGGGATCCTTTCAACTAGTTATGCGTAGGGACAAAGAAGCAAATGTTGACTTCTTATCGGCTAGTGATGACAAAGGTTCTACTACAACTTGAAAAACTTGAGTTATGGCAAAAATCGGACAAAGAAACGGCATGTCTTCAAGCTTTTCGCACTACGAACTATGAATACCAGAAAGATTTCAACCCAGACAAGGAAGATGGAACATGCAACTGGTGCCTTCAAAGTCCGATTTTCCGGAATTGGCAAGAAAATGACTTGTCATGTCTTTTATGGATCACAGCGGATCCAGGCTGTGGCAAATCTGTTCTTTCCAAGGATCTTGTTGACAATCGACTGTTTGGCCTCGAGTCTAGTGACACGACCATCTGCTATTTCTTTTTCAAGGACACATCACCCGAGACTCGGAGTCCTGCCAATGCAGTGGCTGCCTTGTTACATCAGGTCCTGAAATCTAAACGTGGCCGAAAAGCCATGAGGCATGCGCTCCCAGCATACCTTGAGAATGCAGATAAAGCATGCCAGAGTCTCGATACCATGTGGAAGGTTCTGAGAGAGATATCCCGAGATCCAGAATGTGGACAAATCATCTTTGTCTTGGACGCATTAGATGAATGCGAAACGAAAGACCAGAAGGATCTCATCAGGCGGCTTAAAGGTCTTGAACGCCATGACGAATCTCAGGTCTCGACGCACCATCTTAAAGTCCTTGTGACCAGCCGTCCATATCTCAACATTGAGAATGAGTTCAGAGAACTAATAGAGAACATTCCTGGAATTCGGTTGCCGAGTGAAAGGCTTTCTACACAACTTCAATCCGAAATGAATCACGTTGTGCACGCTCGAATGTCAAAATTAGGCCCCCGGATTGTGAGGGAGACCACAAGAGAAGAACTTCTTAGTGGGATACTGGCGACTGAGAATCGAACATACCTCTGGCTGGATCTGATATTCAAAATCATCGAAGAGATGCCACGAATAGACAGAGAAGCAGTCAAGAACCTGCTAAGAACCCTACCAACGACTGTGGATGACGTTTATAATTCCATTCTTCGCAAAGCCAAGGACCAATCCCAGGCCAAGAAACTGCTTAAAATCATCGTGGCAGCGACCAGGCCACTTAGCCTTGATGAAGTCGGCGTTGCATTGGCTATCACAGAGGAAACCCAGCGTTACGAAGATCTAGAGATTCAAAGGGGTGAGCAGCTGGCGATAGCCGTCCGGAATACTTGTGGACTTTTTGTCCATATAGCAGATGAGACGGTCTTTCTGATCCACCAATCTGCCAAAGACTTCTTGGTATCCTCATCCGATGAAGTGTCGCCAATTGAGTCCAGCTGGAAGTACTCTATTTCAGTTTCCGACTTGGCGTTACTACACACTTCGATCTGTATCCGGTTTTTATATCTCAAAGAGCTTGGAAAGAAGAAAGCGCCCCCAATTAGAGATGCCGAGGATTTGTGTTCAAGTTATGATTTTCTCAAGTACTCAGCAAATAATTGGGCAGCTCTTTTTGGTTATATGACAATTCAATATCGCCATGAGCTTTTCCCTGCAGCTATCGAACTCTGTTCCGTCGAAAGAGACCAATATATGGACTGGGAGATTGCTGTTAGCGTGATTGGACGCTCTGTGAACCCTTCCCCTCTTCATATCGCGTCATATCTAGGGCTTGACATGGTTGTTCAAACACTACTTGCTCGCCCTGATGTTGATGTCAACTCTACCACTAGTGATGCTCAAACACCTCTGTCTATCGCTATAGTTCAAGGCCACGAGGGTATTGTGAAGCTCCTTCTTACTACTGCTGGTATTGATCTTAGCCTTACTGATAACTCTGACTATCTACCTCTATCTCTCGCCATATGGCTAGGCTACGAGGGTATTGTGAAGCTCCTTCTTACTACTCCTGGTATTGATCTTAGCCTTACTGATAACTCTGGTTATCTACCTCTATCTATCGCTATACTTCGAGGCCACGAGGGTATCGTGAAGCTCCTTCTTACTGCTCCTAGTATTGATCTTAGCCTCACTGATAGCTATGGCAACCCACCTCTATCTCTAGCTATACTTCAAGGCTACGAGGGTATTGTGAAGCTCCTTCTTACTGCTCCTAGTATTGATCTTAGCCTCACTGATAGCTATGGCAATCCACCCCTATCTCTCGCTATATTTCGAGGCCACGAGGGTATTGTGAAGCTCCTTATTGATGTCCCTAGTATTGATCTTAGCCTCACTGATAGCTATGGTAACCCACCTCTCTCTCTAGCTATACTTCAAGGCTACGAGGGTATTGTGAAGCTCCTTCTTGATGCTCCTGGTATTGATCTCAGTCTCACCGATGGCGATGGCTATCCACCCCTATCCCTCGCTATAGATGAAGGCCACGAGGGCATTGTGAAGCTCCTTCTTGCTACTCCTGGTATTGATCTCAGTCTCATTGATGGCGATGGCCATTCGCCTCTATCCCTCGCTATATTCCAAGCCCACGAGGGCATTGTGAAGCTACTTCTTGCTGCTCCTAGTATTGATCTCAGCTTGGCCGAAGAGTGTAAGTGCTAGCTGAGGCCAGGCGGACATATGTTGGCTAGGCAATGCACTATATATTTACCGTCATCTCTGTAGAGTCGAAGCCTACTTCATGCTTTCAATGAACCTTCAGTCTGAGACTTTCGGAATGCAATGTTTTAGACAACCAGTGATTGTGTATTTATACACTGTAGCCGTAGTCACCTAGTATTCCTGTGGAATCTTCATTTTGTTTCTTCGTTGGAAGGTTCATTCTCTTCTAACTGACCTTTCAAGCCGTTTGCTGTCCTAGCAGATATTTTACATTGTGCTCTTTTGATTCCCCAGTTCCACCGCTGCAACCGTGGAGATCGGTAAAGATGGGATGCACTGAAGTTATTGGACCTTTTTTTTCCCCCTCCCCAGAACCAGTGACAAGTTTGTCAAAGGGGCATGAAGGCGTGAAAATGTATAAAGATACGGTGCATCTAGGTCATTAAGTCATCTAAATGGCGTCGGAAAGCTAAACGCGTTTGTATATTCGGCCCAATAGGCACATCCTTCGCTGCAATATCAGAGTTGTGACTACCCGACCCTGTGTACCAGGACTGTCAAGTAGCCCTGTAGTTTGCCGATTGTATCACAGGTGCCTTTTGTGCCGAGTACCCAGGAGATATGGCT